ATATTCCCAGATTCTCCTATTTTATTAAGACTTTGGAGTTTTTTCTAATTTTAATTTATTAACATTTAACCATTATCTATAACTTATATGAATCATGTAACAACTCGTCTGAGCTATGAACTTGCCTTGAAAATTCATTTTGTAACACATTGCTCTCATTTATTAAGTTTTTCTATGATACTGTTGACATAATACGCTTTCCTGTGAGTACTTTGAAATTTTACGAATGCTTGTAACTTTTTACTTTACTTATTTATTCGAGTCAATTTGCTCGACATTCTTCAAAAATGATCATGTTAATAATCAATGTATTTTTTTAAAGCTGTATACGTAGCATATATTTTTAGTTTTACATTTGTTTTCATCATTGTGATGAAATCTATATATTTTCTTTTCTGTAATTTTTGTCTTTTATACCTTACTGTCTCCACTCGAGGCATGCATAAGAGTGCAGCTAATGTAATTGATGATACGAAAAAGTTCGATAATATGATTTTCCATTTAAGTTTACACTTCTCTCATATTGAAATTGGTAATGTTCGGCAATTCTGACAGAAAATAGTGACTCTTGCAATTAACGGTTTAATTTATCTTCAATTACAAAGACTCGAATGCATTGGCTTGAAATTCACAAGTCTAGTAGCACCTACTGAAGCGATATTTGAGTGGCATTCGATCTTCTTAACGAAATGAACAACAGTAGCTTCTGGTGGGTTTGCATTAATGTAAAGGCCGACAATCTCGAAATGATCGATTCGATTTGAGTTTGGCGAAAAATTAATACAATGGCCTACATAGCAAAAACAAAACTCGATTCATCTCTCATAAAAATATTTTAGAAGTATTTCGCTTCCAAGATACGATGATATATGTGACTGATTTTATCTATGCAATTATCTAGCAGCAGTTCGCTACTAAAATTATATTTATTGTGCTTCCATAAGATTATTCACATTCCCATCATTATGTTATCAAAACTTTTTATTAGTACCTTGCTTTCTTTTATTCAATGTTCAATCGGATTTATATCCTGTCAATTAAATCAACACAACAAATGTACAATAAACACAAGTTTAGTATTCGTTGTTGATGGTAACTTTTCAAAACATCATCCTCAAATTGTTACTAAGTTGCGCAATTATGAATCATTCGCATTCATTGATTTCTTTTATGCGGATTATAGATCAAAATGTAACTTCAATGAAACTTGCCAATCGAAGAATGACAATTATTGTTGTTACACTTTTCTGTTTGTTTTCTATGAATAGTTCTTCGTACAATTTGAAGCGTGTTATCAATATTGAATTCAAATTATGTTTTTCTTCTGCTCACAATGTCATGAAGCACATCTAAGTCCAGTATGAAAATGTGATGGTATCGTTCTTATGGCTTTCGTCTTGACACCATCTGTATATGATCGCTTGTTTTATGTGTAAACGATATAATTAATAACATAATCAAATCGAACGTTATGCAATCTGTACGAATACTAAATTTATTAAGAATGTGATGTTTACATTTGGCTTATCGACACATGATCTACATCCATGCAATTTACTTAAAATCTTTACATCAGGAAAGAAAACACAACATCATGATTAGACAAAGTATTTCATCTGGCAAGGATTGGCGGAATAGAAACGTCTTTGTTTCTCAAGAATTAGCACCATGCCCGAACGTCCCTTCCCACAGTACTGAGCTTTAGTAACTCTATTCTATTCTACATGTCTCAAAGTCCTTGTTCATCGATCGCCTATGCATTTTGCTCGTATACCAAAATGGTTGATTCTACAAGACCATGGCCCATGACTCATGTTATCTTTACTCACTGTTTCATATGCTTTGCTTTTCATTTTTCATTAGTTACTTGCGACAAGCATTATGTCCCTTTAGAATCTGTCATTAGTAGAGCGTTAAATAAATCGCAAATAAGAAGAGAAAACGAGTATTTCATTTGATTTCTTTAGAGAGCAAAAATATCTGATACTCATTTGTCATGTTTGAAAGTTTTATGAGTGCGGGTGGTAGAACCTAAAAGGCATACGCTCACAACACATTGTTCAGCATATCAAAGTGTCTAAATGCATTCGAAAAACACTTTAAATTACTTTGAAATACATTTACTGAGCACATAAACCAATTCAGAGTGATTTGCTTTGTATTTCACGCCTACAGACATAACCTACATTCCAGCAGTTTGGTCTTGATACGAGTTTTCTTGTCTAATTGAACAGGATATTTCATGCATACAACGTCAAATCTGGTGGTACAACAGCGCTCACTTTTCATAACTGTAGTTATATTGCACTTCACATTTTAAGATTATGCTGATTGTGCTAATAGAGTTCTTTAAAAAATCTTGAAACTTGTTACCTGAATCATACGGTTATTTCGAATCTCCAAAAAGTGATTGTTTCTACAATTTTGATGCGAGGGTAAATAAGAGAAAACTATGCAGAGATGAAACTAATGAAAGAAAATATCTAACAAACGACATTCATAAATAAATAAGTAATTTCGTACAACTTTACATGAAAGAATCGATTCAAGGTAGTATAATTAGAATGACTTAAGCATATAGGACAATGCATACATATGACTATGTTGTTGAAATAACTCAAATAAATTTTTCAGACAACACTGATGACTTGCAACAGTTGTTTCATTGTCGAACAATGAATAGGTGTGCAAGAATCAATGGCCGGATTTTGAATTCTATCTTTGCATCCTCGAACATTCTTCACTGTAAAACAAAATGTACGACAAGATGCAACGTAAAAGGCTCTAAAATTTACAATATAAAGTTTGTTTTATCCACACGTATCAAGTTTCCGAAATAGACAATGTGTCAGATCTGACATATTTTCAACTCTACAAACAAGTTCATTGATTCGCACACGGAGAATTCTTTTTCTTATTTCATAAAATTATCGATCATGACTTGTAACTTCATCCCACCATGCATTATCGGTGATAACATCTCACATATAATAATCAAGAAAATCATGAGCAGCTCTCTTAAGTGACCACCTGTGATTGTTAAGAAAGTCGATGACATTGTCTTAACACAATGTCTATGATGTCCGCTATCTAGTAAGACAAAATTGATGAAAAACGCGTTTTCATGCGTAAAAATGCACGCTTTTTACGTTTGAAAAATAGCATCTTTTTTTAAGCTCATGTAACGAGTCTCTAATGTCAATGAGCTCCTTAAAATGCTTTTTCTCGAACATGAAGATCGGTTTGTGGCGGTTTTTCAGCGTAAAAACCAGACATTTTAACAAGTTTTAACGCATTTAAATACACCGTTGTCGGTCTGGGTAATTAAGAGGATGTCAGACAGAACGGGAAAAGTGTATTCGAAATACATATCTACTAATCTGAATTCGACTATCGATGATGGATTTCCATATGATTCATTAATCGAAAAAATAAGAAAATGAATCTTTATCTATGAAAAAGAGTAACTCTTTCACGACGTCAGAATTCAAACATACAAAAGTTCGCCTATTTCGGAAAGTCAAGATTCATATATCCTATGAGCTTTATATTCTAGTTCGTAGAGCTTTTTGCTCTGTAGCTTATAGAATGCTATCATTTTTAATATAGAGTGTCTGATAATGAATAAACAATACTAATCGCAATAATTCATTATGGCGCACCTGTTGATTGATTAACACATGCTAGTAGACTCGAATGCTTTATCAAAGAACGATTTGAAAAAAATGTTTTAATTGTTCATGTCGTTTGACCCTAATTTTATGTGTTCCCTTCAATGACCCTTTTTATTCAAATGTATATAAAAACACGATATTGATCCACGTTTTGGATGCATTACTGCAGTTTTTCATTCGATCCATAGACTGTAATTAAAAATCAATAGTAAATAAACAGCAAAAAGATCTTTACATGCAATTCTATTGTTTTTGTCAAACACACACGACGAATAAATATAACGTCTGAAGAAAATTGAAGTATTTTCTGCAATTTTGTTTTGAGCTTGGTATAAATTTTCTTTTTTTCGAATACGCCAATTGACTGATCATTAATAACAGTATTTATATTTTTCAAGCAACAATTCGCGCTCCATCTATAATTGTTGTTACACCATGGTCGTTTTTCATTGCCAATCGTGTAAATTATTGGAATCAAAGTAAAATAAGTATTCCAGGACAAAAATAAAGAAAACAGAAAGAAACAGAACGAATAAATTTTGTTTGATTAGTCTCTTTTTTCAACCTTAAAACCAACCGATCGATAAACATGATATATATTATTCAAGTATTGTAATAAGAATAAAAACATCAGACACACAAACTTTTTTTCAAGGTAAAGCGCTCTCGATAAAACTTAACTTTTAAATATTCGATCGATATTTGAAATACGAAAATTTCTGTTTTACAACTACAAAAATATTAAAATCAATTGACATGAAGAATGACGAGTAGATCAAATTTTTGATAACTTACTTCAAATTCAATATCAGTATCGATCCAAGCAATATATTCGATGTGTGCCGGTAAATGTTTTACAGAAATATTTATTAAATTTTCTTTCATCCATAGAATTGATGGTGCAAGTACTTGCAAATGATGAGGATTGTTCGGTTGTGTAACTTCATATGTTTGCTTTGGTAAGCCAAAAACTGGTGTTGATTGAAACAAACATTCAACAGTAAATAGGAAGACACCCGATTGAGACATGTGTTCTTCGAATTGTCGATACAAATTGTATCGGGTTCTATATCTAACCGGATTGAAGCAAACTGCAATAACAGCAAGTTTTGTTAAATCGTGTGTCACTCCATACTTCGCAGATTTTGCCATCACTTTGCACGGTATACTTCAGTTTGAAATGAAAGAATGCCTTGTCAAAGGTGTACATATTTATCGAGAGCGCT